GTGTTTTAGCTCATTTCTTGAATGGGTGGTGAGAATGGAGTCTGGTCACAGCTCCCTCCTTCACTACTTAGACGATTTTTTGTGTGTTGGTCCCGCGCATTCCTCAGTCTGCTCACAGATTTTGCAGGCAGTGTCGGATGTGGCCTCTGGGTTTGGTGTACCGCTGGCGCCCGACAAAACAGTAGGCCCTTCAACGTGCCTGTGTTTTCTTGGGATTGAGATTGATTCCGTTATGGGTGAATGCCGGCTCCCGGTGGACAAATTGGTAGATCTACGGGGGACTGTGCGGGAGGCGGGCTCCTTGCGTAAGATCACTCTCCGACGCCTTCAATCCCTGTTAGGCAAGCTAAACTTTGCTTGCCGGATCATGCCTATGGGCAGAGTATTTAACAGGCGTCTGGCGGCCGCCACGTCTGGAATCTCGAAGCCCTTCCACTTCATCCGCTTAACTAAGGCGCTCAGGGCAGATCTAGCAGTCTGGGCTGTTTTTCTTGAAAGTTACAACGGGAGGTCTTATTGGCAGCAGCCAGAAGTTTCGAATGCAGCGCTTCACTTGTTTACAGATGCTGCGGGTTCCTCGGGTTTTGGGGCTATCCTGGGGTCTCATTGGTGCGCGGAACCTTGGCCTGTATCTTGGGGCGATTCAGGCCTTACCAAGAACCTGGCGTTCTTGGAGCTCTTCCCCATCTTGGTGGCTGTCCACCTATGGGGTACGGAGCTAAAAGACAGGCGTGTCGTCTTCCACTGTGATAACCTGGGCGTAGTTCAGGCCATCAATAACCTGACGGCCTCTTCCCCTCCAGTGGTTAGGCTATTGCGAAAGCTGGTTTTGCAATGCTTGTCTCTGAACATAACGTGCCGTGCTGTGCATATTCCCGGGGTGATGAATATTACGGCTGACTCTCTTTCTCGCTTTCAATGGCAGGTGTTTCGGAAAGCCGCTCCGGGAGCAGACTTGGAAGGCCTCCCTTGTCCCAGAGAACTATGGTCCCTTGGCCTGAGCGAATAAAGGGATGGATACGGTCCTCGGTGTCTGAGGCGACATGGGTCCGGTATGGTAAGGCCTGGGGGGACTGGGTTGCTCTTGAACAGGATTGCGGGGGTTACACTTCTTCGGCGGATCGGGTTCAAGGTTTGTTACGTTTGCTTTGGTTCTGGGAGGCTTGCGGGTGTTCCCCGGCTACTGTTTCGGGTAAGCTTTCGGGTCTTAGTTTCTGGTTTAACCTAACTCAGGTGCCGGATGTCACAAAGGATTTCATGATTAAGCTTGCGATGCGTGGTTGGCGTAGGGGCCCTCGTGGGCAGGACTCACGTAGGCCGGTCTCGGGGGCGCTGCTGCTAGGTATTGCCTCAGTACTACCGCAGATATGTTATTCCAGTTATGAAGCTAGTTTATTTCGTTTGGCCTTCATTTTTGCCTTTTTTGGGGCCCTCCGGATTGGGGAACTAGTCAGTCCGAGCAGGGGGACTCCGGGGGGCTTGTTAGTTCATGATGTGTTCCTCTTGGATGGTGCGGTGCGTTTCTTGATACGGCGGTCAAAAACTGACGTTGTTGGGAGAGGTCGCTGGGTTACCCTTCGCACCATCCCTAATTCGTCTGTTTGCCCAGCCGCTGCTTATCAGTCCTACTGCTCCATACGCCCGAATCTTGCGGGCCCGTTGTTAATGCACGAGGATGGTACTTACCTGTCTCACTTTCAATTCCTCAGAGTATTTCGGTTGGCGCTCGACAAGCTGGGAATCCCGAGTGGTGAATTTGGGGGTCATTCCTTCCGGATTGGGGCAGCTACAGAAGCCTCTCGGTTGGGTTTTTCGGATCAAGTGATTCAAAGGATTGGGAGGTGGGAATCTGGGAGGTTTCGTTCTTATATCCGGCCCACGCGCCTGATGGGTGCCTCCCTTGTGTTTTCTCCGCAGGGTCCGGCCGACGGATCTGGCTGATTGGGCATTCATATATCTACTGGGCCCACCTGCGGGCAGGGGTACGCCCGGGTGGGACGCGACTTGGAGTTCCCCGGGAGCTGGCTGAGGTCCGATGGTTCGGTTTTCGGGGCATGCGCTGGGGCCAGCTTTTGCCGGAGGTGTTACAGTTGGCTACATTGTTGGGGGCCCCTGATGTATTGGTGATACATCTGGGGGGAAACGATCTTGGGGCGCTGCCTGCTTGGGGACTTAGTGAGCTCATTAGACGGGATTTGGCGCGCTTGTTAGTCCTCTTCCCGCAGCTCTGCTTAGTCTGGTCAGGTATAGTATCTAGGAACTATTGGCGCCGCGCTAGGGATCAGGGTGCAATCGAGCGCTGCAGGGTGAAGATCAACAAGAGGGTGTCCAAATTCGTACTCGGGGTTGGGGGTGTCACAGTGCGACACCGGATATTCGAAAGGGAAGCGGCGATCTATTTTCGCCCGGATGGGGTCCATCTCACGGATGTGGGTTTGGATTTATTTAATCTTGCGCTGCAGGACGCGTTAGAACAGGCCATGGTGGTAGTGGGGAGTCGCGCCCGCTGATTTAGGCTTAAATGCAGTAGGCGCTAGTGGCGGGTATGGTCCTTGCCAAACCAGTTGGAAAACGAGTACCGGAAGAAGGAATGCTGGGTCTGGTCCCTCCCCTAACCTCGGAGAGTTTGTGGTAGTTGGGCGTGCCCCCCGTGCCAGTAAAAGGCGGCCAGGGGTTGGCATGGGGAATTGGAAGGCCAAGTTAAAAGGCCTGTTATCTTGGACGAGGGGGGAGGGCAGTCACCCTGGTTGGGGGTACTCTGGGAGTTATTATGGTTTGGTTGGCAAGGACAATATTTTCCGATTAAATATTGGCTGATTGATTTATGTTTATGATTATAAATAAAGCTGTGGCCTGTTTATACCACACTTATGTCTCTTGGCTTTAATTGGGGGGTAAATTGGGATAATGTAATTTGATTGTTTTAGTTCGCACCGCACAATAACCACTACCTACACACAAGGCCCAGAGGAGGCGGGCTGAAAGCTAGCCGGATAGGAGGCATGTGTGGGTGTGGTGAGTGTAGGTGTCACATGTTGGGGGGTGTCACTTAGGTTAGGGGTGGGGTGGGGTCATATAAAGGGCAGTCATTTTGTCCCTTACCTCAGCCATCTTAGAATAAACGGCTGGTAACATCTTCCCTCCCGCCCTCCCTTGATTGTGATTGTTGTATATTGTATATCTCTAACTTTCTTTCTTGTCACAGCTGGCGGGTATGGTCCTTGCCAAACCAGTTGGAAAACGAGTACACCGGAAGAAGGAATGCTGGGTCTGGTCCCTCCCCTAACCTCGGAGAGTTTGTGGTAGTTGGGCGTGCCCCCCGTGCCAGTAAAAGGCGGCCAGGGGTTGGCATGGGGAATTGGAAGGCCAAGTTAAAAGGCCTGTTATCTTGGACGAGGGGGGAGGGCAGTCACCCTGGTTGGGGGTACTCTGGGAGTTATTATGGTTTGGTTGGCAAGGACAATATTTTCCGATTAAATATTGGCTGATTGATTTATGTTTATGATTATAAATAAAGCTGTGGCCTGTTTATACCACACTTATGTCTCTTGGCTTTAATTGGGGGGTAAATTGGGATAATGTAATTTGATTGTTTTAGTTCGCACCGCACAATAACCACTACCTACACACATGGTCCCATGCCCAAAACAGTTCCATAGAACTGGAGGACTGACCGGGAACCACAAGGTTTTCATGTCAAAAATAGTTCCAGGGCATTCACGGTTAAGTCCCCCTGAATTCTATTCACGGTTTTGGTCCATGCAAACAAGATGGCCGCCACAACGTGTTCGAATGTTGAATGGCGGCCACTTTGACTGTTGGAGTTCTAAGAACCCTTGTTTAAAGTCCCAATAGGTACAATTAGGATCTCCCAGCCAAAATAAGTTAAGGGGGCTATAGTCACAGGGTAAAAGGCTGGCAAGTAGTCCCCTCCAAACCCCAGTGGCGAAGTGGCTTTACTGTTACTCCTACCAACCCGGTTATTGTGCTGCAGCAGAGCACAGATCCAGTATTGCCAAAGTGTCTGTCTGTAACACAGCATGTTAATGATTGCGTCTTGTGCTATTAAAAGGTAGTATAGTGACCATAACAACTATCATAATGAACCAGTTTGTGTATAGCTCAATCCCCTGCCACCTCCCTGCTCAAATCTCTGCCAGTTATGAGTTAAATCACTTTTATTTCTGTTTATGTAGCCCTAGCCACACCTCCCCGTGATAATAATATTCCATATTAATTAAGTATGATTGATTGATCACTATTGAGCAACTCAAACATTTATAGATAGTTAAGATGGCACCGGTAAGCATATAAGCACACATAGCACATATTACTAGATGCAGGCTTGAAGGCTTTATGCCACAGCTATTAAGAGCTGACACAGCACTACAGCTGTTTGAGAAACCTCTGTTGCCATCAAAAAAACATATGTTGCCATCTCTAGAACAGTACAAAGAAAGCTTGTAGATAAGAGATAATTAACCGCACAAGACTTGGCATAAGTTCTGGTGGTCCTGAACAGTCTGGCCAACTGCCAGGTCCATCCAGCTGTTGTATTGAGGTCTTTTGCTGGGCTGCAGTGATAAGGAACTACTGACCGTCCTTGAAGACAAGTATATAAGACTAAGGGAATCTTGCGCTCCCTTGGAGAACTACCCACCAGTAATGCGGACGCGTGTTACTGGTTTCTGCTGTTCCCAGAAGAGAGCGTCTCTCAGAGTGACTGCCTGAGTTCCCCCCAGTCATGTGTGGCAAGGAGAAAACCAAGCTCCTCTAATGGTGATGTATACTAAGCTGATATATCTAGATACTAAGCTGTTTGAAGTAAATGCATGCAACTACTTAAAGCGTCACTGTCATGCCGAATCCCGTTTTTTTTTTTAACCCCCCTCCCGCCTCCACTACATCCAATTGACCCACTAGTCACCCCCAAATGCCCCTAAGCCCGCCACATTACCTAGTGCTCTGAGTCATTTTACACAGCGTGGGAAAGTTCTTTTGAATTTTCCCACGCTGTGTAAAATGACTCATAACACTCTGATTGGCTTAAACCCACCAATCAGAGTGTTCTGAGCCTAATTGCAGGGCGGGGCAAGGCTTTATAAGCCTTGACCCGCCCTGCGGAGCTCAGTATGCGGCGTGCCCTCGAAGGGCGAACTTGGATTAATTTTTTTTTTTTTTTTTTTTAAAGTGCGACGGGTGTAATGGTTTTTTATTTGGCCTTTTTGGGGGCTGAAGAAAGAAGATTTTAGAAAAAAGACGACGTCAAATGGTAAGTTTAATTTTTTTTTTTTTACAGGTTAGTTATTTTATTCCCCCCCTCACTATTTGTAGGGTGAGGGGGGTAGGTAGGGGATAGGTTTTTTTGGGTGGGGGGGTGGTGACTAGGGGCTTGGGACCCCTAGTCACCTTGATTGGGGGGGGGGTGTTTCATTTAGGGCCCCCACCCACCGCTCAGGGGTGGGGGCCGGGGGGGAGGATAGTAGGTCCCCCCACCCTTATTGTTTTATTGGGGCCCCCACCCACCGCTCAGGGGTGGGGGCCGGGGGAGGACAGTAGGTCCCCCCCCCTTATTGTTTTACTAGGGCCCCCACCCACCGCGCAGGGGTGGGGGCCAGGGGGGGGAGGACAGTAGGTCCTATATCTTTATTTAGGGCCCCCACCCACCGCTCAGGGGTGGGGGCCAGGGGCCAGGTTCCCCCCCATCTTTATTTAGGGCCCCCACGGGCATGGGGGGAGTGGGGGGGTTATTAGTTTTTTGTTTGTTTTTTTACAGTGAGCAGCTATAAGCTGCTCACTGCTTACTACACATGCCCCTACTCGCGGTATAGCGAGTAGGGGCATTTAATTTACTAATACTAAGTAATCTTTACTTAGTATTAGTAAAGTTGGCTGAAAGACCAATTTAGGTCTTTCAGCCTTTTAGTAGATAGCTCCCTGATACCGTGGGAATTAGGGAGTTATCTACTAAGCAGCTGCAAGATGCAGCCACAGCAATGAATAGGATCAGAGTTTCATTCATTATAATGAAATTCTGATTCGAACAAAGTGCCGAATTGCGTTCTCAGAGAAACGAACATACTGTTCTCATTCAGTTAGAACGCAATTCGGCAGTTTCATGTAAAGTGACAGGAAGCATTGTGGGAACACAGAGGGAAGGTAAGGATCATGAGAAAATTGCTCTGACCAGCGGAAATGAAGCACACTTTGCTCCTCCGCTGGTCAGAGCTGGTCAGAGCTGGTCAAGCGGAGGAATCCTCCATAAGGCAAAGAGTCCCTACTTTGTCTTATGATTTTAAAGAAAACTAAAGAAGACAGGAAGAAAAGAATAACAGATCCTGAGAGAGGGGGAGAAGATGAAGAGATTGAGGAAAGGTAAGTTCAGCATGACAGTGCCGCTTTAAATGAGAGTAAAACTTACTTTGCTTAGATCCCTTTGTGGATAATAACGTGTAGTGTGAATTCTTATATTCAACTTGGTCTCTGTGTGATTTCTCTTTCCTATAACTCAATGTACTCTATCCGAACTGGGTTGTGTGCCCGCCAATATCGCTATAAACCTTATTAGGTATTGATTATTACTTTTTGGATATTAGTGCTTCATGAATTTAATGATTAGGCACAACACTCCCCTGGCTGTAATGGACACAGCCTGCATGAAAACAAAATGGTTTTATTTCAATAAAATGTAACTTCCTTTAAAATGTTATATCTCCTGCTCTGTAAATTGAACTTTAACCACACACAAGAGGCTCCTGCATAGACTAGAAGGATATTAACAGAGCAGGAGATTCTAAATTAGACAGACTGAAATAAAGTATAAGCTTTAGATGACTCTCTTTACAGGAAGTGTTTATGGAAGGCTGTGTAAGTCACATGCAGGGAGGTGTGATTATGGTTCATAAACAAAGGGATTTAACTCCTAAATGGCAGAGGATTGAGCAGTGAGGCTGCAGGGGCAGACAATTGTAACAGCTCCCTCTGTTCCTTAATACTAGGTTTTTGTCGACTGATCGGTATACAAACCTAACCGAACGGATTGCCTCATCTGGTTCATATACTGAACTAAGTACCAAACACCTATGTAGCGGAGAGCTGATATTCCACAGATTATCTCCACTCAAGATCCCAGTGAGGCTCAGGAACAAGTAATAAAATCCATAAGGCAATAATTCCAGCAGGCAAGACAATCCAATAATATCCCAACATCAATCCCAATGACTGGACGACACACAGCATCAGGAGCAGAACTGACTTTTAATCACTCAACCTTCTTTTAAAGCATTCTCCCATGCAAGGGAGGGATTTACAGTAATTATACAATACACCAATCATACACGAGTTGCCACCCACACATCCCCCTCCCCTTAGTATGACTCATAATCCCATTATGCAGGACACAGTTCCCCTTGTTTTCTGGATGTACCCCTAAACATAGGGGTACCCCTTTAAATATTACATCCCCTGGTAGCCCTGATCTGGGTGAGACACATATCCAAAAATCACCCAGATCGAACCAGGGGTTCGGGAAATTCCTGGAG